ATCCAGTACCAGGAAACTGAAGATCCCCGAGGACTCTGCAGCCGACTCCACAACTTTTATAGTCAGTGGCTGAGGTTAGAAAAGCACAGTAAAACCCAAATGGGGGACTTGGTTGTCCTGGAGCAGCTGCTGGCCTTTCTGCCCCCACAGATGGAAAACTGGTGGCGGGAGTGTGGAGCAGAGACCAGCTCCCAAGCAGTGGCCCTGGCGGAAAGCTTCCTCATGAGTCAGGCAGAGGAGCAGAAGGAGCAAGTCGAATTGCAGGTGAGAGACCTTCCCTACTTCTTTGGTCTTCATAATATGTCGAGATGTTTCACTAGTTCTTGCAGGACATTGTTCCATTATCCATTCTAGAAGACAAACTGGAGACAGCTGTTCCTTTCTTACATTGTAGGCTCATTGATTGATAATGGGGCATTGAAGTTGTTTTTAGAGAACAAGTATCCAATTTATGTTGTGTGATGTCTTATTCAAGTCTTTCCCTCTGCAGACCAGAGATCCTATGAGAATCAGGAATCCATCAAATCCCACTCAAGAGCTATTTTTCAGGAGGATCTATCAGGAATCCGCAAGTCAGGATATCTCAGATGGTAATCAAAAATCCACCCATTCCCAAGAGAGGTCCCAGCTGTCTTACCTTCTCTATATCTCCTCTCCTGTAGAATGCTTCCTCCTATTTTATTAATTTTCCTTTTAAAAATTCTGTCATCCTCACAGGGAAGAATAGAACGAATTTGACTCCTTTTTATGGTGGTGCTGAAAGAGTGGTTGAAGCTGCAACTCAAGTAAGAGAGGTATAATAAAACATAAAATGTTCTCAATGTTAGCATTTTCTTTGAAGGCTTCTCAATAATAACTGAAATAATCACATTAACATCTTACAGTTTCTAAATCGCCTTGTTTATAAGAAAAATAATGTCGCCAGGTTAAAAGATGAAGCAGACTGTTAAAATCCAAAGAGGGTGGGCAGATCAAGGCCCTTCAGCCTTTAAAGGAATTTCTAATACTCCAAATTGTGCCTGAAATTTGAGGCCAAACATTCCAGCTTTGGAAGGAATAAGAAAAGCTCTTCCCAAGCAGCTTTCCCTTTTTCAGCTATTGGGTTGGGGTAGAAGGAGTGGATTCCTTGTAGTCTGAGGAGCAGCCGAAACAGGGCTTGTGTGTCTTTGTCTATTCATGACAGCCATGTAAATCCCCGGGTGCCTCTCATACAACTTTAATGAAGGTTTTGAGCATGGATAAGATTGTTCGTTCTGGAGACACCACAAGCCTTTTACTTAAATTGTTAAATGAACCGTCACCACAGTCCCCGCATTTTCTTCTGCAAACACTGGTTTGATTGGCATGAATGATAGGTGGGGATTCCAGTAGATGCTCTCCAGATGCTGAACATCTTGCTGATGGATGGGGACAGACAGGGAGATCCAAACGACAAGTGTGATTAATTTCACTAAATGGCCTGAAATGTATATCTTTGCTTGGAATCACTTAAACAATAGGACAGATCTTGAAAATCCTCCTGATTTTTCTTCTGTTTTCTTCTCATTCAGGAGGGTCTTGTGTCCTTTGAGGAGGTGGCTGTGTATTTTTCCGATGAGGAGTGGTCTCAGCTGGATGCTGACCAAAAAGCCCTATATTGGGAAGTCATGCTGGAAAATCATAGGAACGTGGCCTCTTTGGGTAAGAATATGCTACTCCCCAGTCCGAGTGTTTGGGAAGACTTTCTGTAATTAGATATATTAGCTCTTTTTATTATTATTTTATTAAAGGAATTTTATCAGAATAAAAACAATACAAACTTTGACGTATAAATAAAGAAAATAACTGATTAATAAGAAAAAACTATGATAACATTTAGAAAAGAAAAAGATGAAGTAATAAAAGAAGTTAAAATTTGTCCCCTGTTTCTAAGGTTACATCATTGGTTCCCCCTTTACATAATTTATCCATTCTAATCTTTGAACACAAGTTTGATGACAAGATCTTTTTTTTTTCAGCAGTCCATCGAAGGTTTCCAATTACTAATAAATATAGATAGTATCCTTATCTTAATCAGAGTCAATTTAGTCATCATTAAGAATTCTGTCATCTTCCCCAACCAGTCCACAATTCTATTTATTGTAGAGCCCTTCAGCTTTATGTGTATGATAGTCTCACTATGGCTGTCATACTCATAACCAACATGAAGTGTTCTGATTTCAGTTGGATACTAATCTTTAAGTTCTCTGTATCACTGAATGTCTTTGAATCCAAATTTTTCTAGCTTTTTTATAAGTCCACTAAAGCATGACAAAAAGACCCTTTGTCTTGTCCACATTTCCAGTGTAAGTTTAAAGTACATTTATACACGTTTGAATATTTTTCTACTGATTTTCACATTATTCGGCCTATTTAGAGGTTTTAGCAATTACATATTCATCTTTTCTATGCAATTGAGATTCAAATTCTGCTTCATGTTGTTGAATACTACAGTTCCCTTTATCTACCTAGAGTCTTTCTGATACGAAAAATACTGACAGTTACATGTCTATGGAGATTCTCAGTCATCTAGGTCATAGTTGTCCCATAGGTACTTTTTCAAGAGGTAACTGGACTTCCTTGTGAATAGAATAGAACAGAACAGAATAGAATAGAATCTGGAAGAGACCCTGGAGGTCTTCTAGTCCAGCCTCCTACTCAAGCAGGAGAACCTATAACATTTAAGACAAGTGACTGTCTAGCCTCTTCTTAAAAACCTCCAGTGATGGAGTGCCCAAAACTTTTCATTTTTCTTTTCTGTGAAGGTAATAATGGGGAGGAAAATGAAGATTCCGGGAAACTATTACAACTGATCAGTCGTGGATACAACACAAAGAACCCTACAATTCTAATGGAAGTAGAAAGCCATGAGAGAAACCAGTCAAATAATTGGAATCAGGAAAGTTCATCTTCTGTTCATGCATCTATAAAAACCTCTGTGACACAACAAGGAAAAATAAAGAACAAATATATTGGAAAATGTATAAAACTATTCAAAGACAAATTTGATGTAAACGAACACTATCAAATCCAAACCAAAGGAGATTATATATCTAGAGACAATGGAAAAAATTACAAATGGACCTTGTTCCATACATCTCAAAAAAGAACCCAGGCAGAAGAGAAGCCACATAAATGCAAGGAGTGTGGGAAGAGCTTTGTTAAGAACCATCAACTTATCTATCATAAAAGGATCCACAAAGCAGAGAAAACATATAAATGCAAGGAGTGTGGGAAGAGCTTTACTAGTAACAGTCATCTTACATGTCATCAAATAATCCATACAGGGGAAAAGCCTTATAAATGCATGGAGTGTGGAAACAGCTTTACGAACAGTAGAGAACTTACTTCTCATAAAAGGATCCACACAAGAGAGAAGCCCTACAAATGCACAGAGTGTGGAAAGTGCTTGAGCTCACTCAGAAATCTTTCTGTACATGAAACAATCCACACAGGGAAAAGGCCTTATAAATGTATGGAGTGTGGAAAGACCTTTATTCATACAACTCATCTTAGTTCACATACAAGGACCCACACAGGAGAGAAGCCCTATAAATGCATTCAGTGTGGAAAGAGCTTTACTCAGAGCAGCAATCTTACTTCCCATGAAAGGATCCACACAGGAGAGAAGCCCTATAAATGCATGGAGTGTGGAAAGAGCTTCACTTTTAGTACTTCTCTTACTTTGCATTATCGGATCCATACAGGTGAGAAGCCCTATACATGCGTGGAATGTGGAAAGAGCTTTACTCATAGGAGCAGTCTTGCTTGCCACAAAAGGATCCATACAGGTGAGAAGCCCTATAAATGTATGGAGTGTGGAAAGAGCTTCCCTAAGAGCACTGACCTTATTTTCCATAAAAGGATCCACGCAGGGGGAAAGCCATATACATGCCTGGAGTGTGGAAAGAGCTTTGTTAAGAACTCTCAACTTATTTACCATAGTAGGACACATACAGGGGAGAAGCCATATAAATGCATGGAGTGTGGTAAGGCTTTTATTACAAACAGTTATCTTAACTTCCACAAAAAAACCCATACAGGGGAGAAGCCTTATAAGTGCATGGAATGTGGAAAGAGCTTTTCTACAAACAGTTATCTTAACACCCATAAAAGGACCCACACAGGGGAGAAGCCCTATAAATGCCTGGAGTGTGGAAAGAGCTTCACTTGTAGTACTTCTCTTACTTTCCATTACCAGTTACATAAAGGGCAGACACATAAATGCATGGAATGTGGAAAGAGTTTTTCTACAAACAGTTATCTTAACATCCATAAAAGGACCCATGCAGGGGAGAAAGCTTATAAATGCATAGAATGTGGAAAGATTTTTTCTACGAACAATTATCTTAACAAACATAAAAGGACCCATACAGGGGAGAAGCCGTACAAATGTATGGTGTGTGGAAAAGGTTTTATGATGAGCAGTCATGTTAAATACCATAAAAGGATCCATACAGGGGAGAAGCCACATAAATGCATGGAATGTGGAAAGAGCTTTATTAAGAACTACCAACTTATTTACCATAGTAGGACACATACCGGGGAGAAGCCATATAAATGCATAGAGTGTGGAAAATGCTTTTCTGTCTCTAGTAGTCTTACCCGCCATAAAAAGACTCACACAGGGGAGAAGCCTTATAAATGCATTGATTGTGGAAAGTGTTTTTCTACGAAGAATTATCTTAACACCCATAAAAGGATCCACACAGGGGAGAAGCCGTATAAATGTATGGTATGTGGAAAAGGTTTTATTATGAATAGTTATCTTAACTCTCATAAAAGGACCACACAGTGTAAAAGCCCTATAAATCTGTGAAATGTAACATCTTCAAGAGGACCAATGGGCGAATGTTCCATATACAAATACATTTGGGTGATAATCTGTTTAACTGTTAGGTTTAGTTGTTGAAATATATGCATTTCCTAATTACATCTACTGAATTTTTTGACTCTGACCTTCACAATTGGAAACCCCAGAGTGATGAATTTACTAATGGAAACCAAATGCCACCAATGCCATTTCACATAAATAAGAGAACATCTTTTTTTCTTCATGTTTATCCCATTTCCAGTTGGATCATAATAAAGAAAGCCCAAATCCCCAATGAAACTTTATAAAAGTTTAATTTTTGAGAGCAAGCATCGGGCTGAGCTAGCAAAATGTCATTCCAGGCATACTATGGGAAAGGCATGAATCACGAAAGATGTCAGATGCCTTTCTTTCCTTTCTTTGAAGCTCGCTAGCAACTGCCATAACTAGGAATGGGACAACTGCCATAACTAGGAGGAAGGGGACATTTGGCAGGGGAAGAGCACTGGAAGCGGATTGTTGTAAGGATTTGTGGAGTATGGACATGAACAGGAGCCAGTGGTACCAAACTGAGCCATCTTCCTGCCCTCAAGGACACCAGCCCTGGGAAAGGAATTATATCTGCTGGTGAGGCATCAGGTTGCTAAAACATTGGACCAGGATTGGATTGGACTGATCTATCCAGGGGAAGGGGTTTGGACATTGGAGATTGCTTTCAATATATGGTTTTTGTGCAGTTTTTTCAGAGCTTGCCTTGCTTATGCTGCAATTGGTATCTCTAGTAAAAGTACCTTTTCTCTAACATCCATGGAATCAAGGCTCATCCTTTCCTAGGGAATAAACTATGGCCAGTCTGACAAAAGAGTTGCAGAAATAATAACTAAATATGAATTATCAAAAAAGTGTGATGCTAAAGAAGATACCTTATGAATAGAATGGTTTAAGTAGCCATTGTTTTACAGTTAAGCTTTTTATAGCGGTCAGTAGAAGTTATATAATGAATTGGAAGATGTTGAAACGGAAAACTTCTTGGGATATTGTGCTAAATTACAAAAATGTTCAAAAAGGAAACTGATGTGACAGTGTAACATCAGATCCTCTGTGACTTATGTTTAATCCTACAAAAACCCCAACGGATTTACAATCTCCACCTCAGTGTATTTAGTTTGGAGAAGGTGCTCAGATGAGAATGTATCCCGGTATTGAGTTGGAAAATGATTGATCTAGGAGGGATGGGATCAGGCAGACATTTAATATGTATTGCTTCCACAACAATCAGAAGGAGCTGCATCTCCCTGATGCATCTCTTCAAGAGAAAACTTTTTAAATCTTTCTTCCTCTATAGCAGAAATGAGAATGGGAACTTCTGGACTGTGAGAAGCAATACGAAAAATAATCCAACTCTTTAGTCCATTGTGAAAAACAGCTAAGTCAACCAGTGTGAATGGAGAAGGAGGGAACTTCTTTCGGTCAAAGTCCTGTCATGATGAAATAGAATAATCACATAGATAATTAGAGTGTGAAAATAGTTTCTGTATGAAGAGATTCTCTCGCACAAAAAGGAGCCAGAATGACAAAAAGCCCCTGAAATGCATGTGCAAAAGAAGCAGAAGGACCATATTTTACCTTTCTATGGTGAGATGAGGGCTAAGAAAAAGTCTACATTTAATGTAAATGAAAATTTATATCAGTGGTGCTGTATATAACAGCTGCAGTCTCTTCTTCACTGAGAGTTTGTTGTATACAAGGGGAAAGCTCGCAACAAGGGGAAAATGCAATTTGTAGAGATCCAAGAATTGGTAAGAGACAGAGGTGAAAAAACTGCAAGAAAAGAATGAGACCCCCATGGAAGTGCGCTTCGTGCAGATGGCCAAGGTTCAGAATTCTCCATAGCAGCTCATATATTAGAGGATTATGCATGGGAAGGGGAGAGGAAAGCCCTTTGACAAAGAAGATAGAGATAAAAATAGATTACGTATTTCCCCCAAAATACATACAGTAGGCGAGCGTGCATAACCAGGACGATGTTCGGTATAAACAGCGGGGCGTTGCCTTCGCATGGCGTGGAGACACAGCTTCAATGTGCGGCGGCAATTGATCCAACTTTGGAGCGTGGGGGCAGACTACTGGTTCTGAGAGAGTTCAGGGAAGGGGGGGTGCGCATGCCATTCATGTGCCAATCCAGCCCCTGTGGCCCTTGGGCGAGGGGAAAGCGGGGGCGGCCAGGCAGATGCTCCTCTAGGTGGAGCAGTGGTTCTTTGCCCCAGCAAAGCTAGGGGACTGTCTTCCTGGTCCGGCACCACCGCCCAGTTGCTCTCGCTTCTCCCAAGCATTTCTTTGCTAACCTTTCCAGCTCCATCATGTTTCTCTGTCTTTGTCACATTTCTCCGTCTTCGCGTGCAGAGAAACAAGTTTGTGGGGCTAAAAAAAAAAAGTTCAATCAGACCTTCCAACTTGGTGAGATCTTTTTTTTTCACGAGAAATTGGAAGGTCTGATTGAACTTTTTTAGTTCCACAAACTTCTTTTGTTTCCCTGCATGTGGAGGCAGAGAAACATGACTGAGACGGAGAAACGTGAAAGAGCTGGAAAGGAGGTTAGCAAAGAAATGCTTGTGGGAAGCTTCCCCTCATGCCTTTGCCTCTGCCTGGGTGCTCAGCCTGCTAAACTTCACTTCTAGACAGGTGATTGATTTAGCGAAGTAAACGCATGGGGAGAAAAGCAGGCACTGCAGTGAGACCAGTTTTTTTTCCTCGCTACTGGATTTTTGCTGCCATACTGTTTAGCTTTCTTTAAACTTTAGTTGATGCAGAATTGGAAGGATCCGCATTCTGCATCAAGTAAACTTTAAACAAATTTATACAGTATGGCAGCGAAAATCCGCCAGCGGGTAAAAAATCTTGTTTTTTTGAGATACCAGACTAGCGTGAATTCATGTGCCTCCAATCCCCTTGCTTGTTGCAAAGCCAGATTGGAGCCCTTGGGCTGCTCCTTCCAGACAATTTTAGAGCCAGCCCAAAAGCGAAGGAAATGGTTGCCACCCACCTGATCTCTGTGGGGCTTCATTTCCAAAGACCCTCTGCACAGGCTCCGGACAAACCGAGATCCAGGACTGAAAAAGCAGCAACAGGAGCGAAGGGCTGTTCAAAGGAGGAGGAAGAAGGAGAAAGTGGGAGAAGCCATTGAGCAGGCGAGGCGCGACAGGTGTCAGGGTGTGATAGGTCTGGCTGCAGGGGCCCTTCGGCATGGTAAGCTGTTGTAGGACACATGGGGCAGCTCTCCCCCACCTCCCACACTGCCTTGTGTCTAGCAACCAGATGGTGTGATGGAATGGGCAGCCAGCAACCATGCAATCTCTTAAGCAGGGCTTATTTTTGGGTAGGGCTTATATTAGGCCCAACACTAAAAATGAACCTAAGTTCTTCTGTTCGGGGTAGGTCTTATTTTGGGGGGAAAACGGTAGATCAAGCAAGACAGAAATAGCTGCTAACCTGTGGTAAGATAGGATAGGATAGGATAGGACAGGACAGGAGCTGGAAGGGACTTTGGAGGTCTTGTAGTCCAGCCCCCCACTCAAGCAGGAGAACCTATACCTGTTCCACTGGTTAATTGACCTCACTGTTAGGAACTTTCTCCTTAACTCCAGGTTGCTTTTCTCCTTGATCAGTTTCCAACCATTGTTTCTTCTCCTTCCCTCTGGTGCTTTGGAGAATAATTCGACTCCCTCTTCTTTTTTGCAGCCCCTCAAATACTGGAATACTGCTATCATGTCACCCCTATTACTTCTTTTCTTTAGAGTAGCCAAACCCAAATCCTGCAGCCGTTCTTCATATGTTTTAGTTTCCAGGCCTTTGATTATCTTAATTTCTCTTCTCTGAACTTTTTCCATGGCCTCAACATCTTTTTTGTAGTATGGTGACCAAAACTGTTTGCAGTATTCCATGTGTAGCCTTACTAGGGTTTTATAAAGCGGTAGTAATAATTTGCGTGATCTTGATTCTATGCTTATGTTTGTACAACCCATGATTGTTACCTTTTTTGGCAGCTGCTGCACATTACTAGCTGATAGTCAAGTGATCGTCTACTAGGGCTCTAAGGTCCCTCTGACAGTTACTATTTTTGAGCCAGGTCTCACCTAATCTGTACTTATATCTCTCATTTTTCCTGCCTAAATGTAAAACTTTGCTTTTCTCCACATTAAAACTTATTTTGTTGGATAGGGCCCATTGTTCAAGTTTGTCAAGAACTTTTTGAATCTTCAACTTGTCTTCTGTGGTGTTGACTATTCCTGCCAGTTTAGTATCATCTGCAGATTTGACGAGTTCCCCTTCTATTCCCTCATCTAAGTCTTTGATGAAGATATTGAAGAGTGCTGGGCATAAGACGGAGCCTTGTGGTACCCCACTGCTTATTTCTCTCTGTGTGGATATAGTACCATTGAGGTCTACTCGTTGAGTACAGTTTGTCAGCCAGCTACAAATCCATCTGGTGGTGATGTTGTCTATTCCACCTTTTCCTAGCTTACCAGGCAGTAGATTGTCGTCTACTTTGTCGAACGCCTTACTGAAATGTAAGTATACTATGTCCACAGTGTTTCGCTGGTCTAATTTGGCCACTTTATCAAAGAAGGAAATAAGATTGGTTTGGCTACCAGTTATAACTTTGTTTGCTTCTAGTTGTTCGCAGATCTGTTTTTTGAGTACTTTTCCACTATCTTCGCAGGTACTGATGTTAGACTTATTGGCTTCCTGGGTCTGTTTTTTTTCCTTTCTTGAAGATGGGAACCATATCAGCCCTTTTCCAATCCTCAGTTACATCCTGTGTTGCAGAATTTTTAAAACATATGGTGCAATGGTTCTGAGATAATATCTGCTAGCTCCTTCAGACCTCTGGGATGTAATCTGTCAGGTCCTGGTGATTTATATTTGTCAAGGTTGGATAGGTGTTCCCTTACCATTTTCTTGCTTAACAGAAAAAGAGTAAAATAAGCAAGGTCAGGTTAGCATTCAGTTTACAAGTAAGGAGTGGGAGTTTAAGTGTGTCTAATCAAAGTTTTTGTGGGAAAAACAATTGTTGTCTTTGCATCTGCTTACTGTACAATAATAAGAAAAGCCCTAACCTA